GACCTACTATCCCTTAATATTTTTTTTATTATAAATTCGAAATATTAGTCTGCTGGATTAAGATCTGCAGTAAGAGACATGTAATTTCTTCAGTTGAGTTTAAAATGTTGGCGCCAATATGGATTTTCAAGTTAAGGGGCGAGTACTGCAGGCCTGTCTCATATGTAAAAAAGTGTAAAATAGTTGAAAAAGATTGTAAATAGTTTACAAACAATTAATTGTGAAGCATACGTAAAATATCAATAATTGATATCATGTTTAATACAAGTTATTTATTAATTATAGTGATTATTTTAAAAAATACGATAATTTTGCTCCATGTACGATAATTCTACGCTACTGGTACGATAGTTGCCATGCTTCAAGTTGTGAACACTGATGGCGATCATTTGACACGCTAAGAAAAACGATAAATTTGTATGTGCAGCTGAAGAAGCATACTTAATTCAGTGTTCTAAAGCTAATATAATTTAAAAAATTTAGTGCCAAAGCCAACCAAAGCTTCGTCACTCAGGTGTGGGATAAACATTAGGCAGTGAACATTCAGTAAATTAAATAAGTATTTCAATGTAAGTAGGTAGGTACCAATATTTCATACATCTTAAATCATGTAAGGGAAATCTTGTAGGTATTTATTTAGGTAAACATTTGCCGCGCCAGCTCTTCAATATTTAGTAGGTATGTTTGCTTCGAGTGAGATGCCGTAAATGTTTAAAGCGCTAATGACATGAAATTTTCAAGTTCCAGCGAGCGGAATGTGGATGGCAAGGCAACATGTCATTAAAATTACGATACGAATCCATCCTAATATAATAAATCCGAAAGTTATTCTGTTTCGCCATTTGTTTATCTGTTTATCGGTCTGTTATGCTTCCACGCATAAACTATGAACCTCATTTTGAAAATTCTTGGTATAGAGGATCTTGGAGTAGGGTATAGACAATTATTTGTAGTAGAAATGACATGAAGGGGAAGTAATAAGTTTGTAGGGGAGACATGTATGCAAGCATTTTACAGTTTAGTTAAATTTGACTTTTTGTATTAGGTACTTTTACTTACAGTCATATCCATTCGACTCGGTACACGATTCTCACGATAAATCGATTCAAGCTTGTATGAGTATTTGATTATTTACCCTCACACATTATTCATTCTTTAACTTTTGTTCGTACACGATTAAATAAAAAAAATCTTAAGGATAATATTTACTAAAAAGATATCTACCTACTTGGTCTTCCACGTGTCGGCAGGATGTCAACATAAAAGTTCTTCTATGTAAACATTATAATTGGTTTTACTAACTTTCCTTTCAAATTATTTTTACCCCTCAAACTTTTATTTTCGCAACAAATAGAAGCATATATCCTTCTCCAAGGTCCACTTTATATTTATGCTTACTATAAATTATTCAAAATTGGTTCAGATTCATTGGTTTACGTACTTACGTAAAAGCGTAACATAGAGTTGCTTTCGAATTTGTAATATTATACAAAAGTCTTTGAATTTCGTTAAAATAATACCTTCTTACGGAGTGTTGATTACTGATTAAGGTGAATTAAATGGTGGTTTTGAACTACACCCATAAAATTGCAATAAATGTTTAGGGTTCCGTACCCAAAAAGTAAAAATGGTTGCCTGTAAAGTCGGTTTTACGGGCGAAGATTTTACGTGACAACGTCTTTTTATCGGTAGAATATTTATTGATATGAATATAATTAAATTGCACAATAGGAACAAGGAATTGAATGAAAATAAGAATTGCACAAATTTTAACTATAGAAATATATTTTGTTTACTAAAACATTGTACATGTAAACTTAAACTTAACACGAGAGACTCATCGTAACGTTACCGAGCGTTACACTTTTTCATAAGTGACTCCCAGCCGCAACCTAATTTAAGACGTTGTCACGTCAAAAACGGGGCCCTATTACTAAGACTCTACTGTCCGTCTGTCTGTCACCAGGCTGTATTTCATGAACTATGATAGCTAGATAGTTAAAAAATTCACATATGATATATTTCTGTTGCCGCTAAAACGGCAAATACTTAAAAGAAAAAAAAAATTGTGTGTGTCAGCTCCGACGCACGACTGGAGTTTACTCCTTATGTTCGATAGTCTAACCAGACGCAAAAAGAGTTTATTTAACTTAAAAAAGATTGATACTGTATGAAAGGGTAAATTAACAAATTAATGAAAATAATATACATATATAAATATATATTTATTCATTTCATATACATTTATTATAACTAATCGACGAAATATTTTACATTAAACTTTTTACAATAGTCAATTTCAGATGTGCATAAATATATTGTTTTAAGTTATTGTACATCTTAGTGTTTTTATTTGTTTTGTTACCTTAAGTCATGGTGGGCGATAACAGAGTCATGTTGTTAAGTTAAATATTTGTAAGGACAAATCTCAGTTTGTCCTTGGTGGGCGATTATGTATACGCCATTTGTGCATTTAAAATTTTAGTTCATATGTATCAAAATAGATGGCGCTGTAGTTCGTTGCATCACGCTTGTAAATATGTTTGGAGCTACATATAGGCAAAACGTCACCTAACTAATAAAGAAATCTGTGGTCTAACAAAATACACTGTAGTTTCAATTTAATTATTTTGCACCTAAGCTCTCGGATTTAAGAGTCATTTTGGCTCGAACAGGATGCGCACCAAAAACGTAACGAGGTCATTCATCGATAGATTTTACTCCTCAAATATTTCTCATACCGGGCCCCTTATACCTATATGCAAATCGATTGTTAAGGAGTAAACTCCAATAAAATAAATGTTTAAGTGGGCCTCCATACACCATTTTGCCATATTTTGGTCGATATTAATAACGTAACGGCAACAGGTAGAAGCTTGTAATATTCACAGAATATTTAGTGGTATTGTATATACACATTAGAAATAAAAAAATAATTTAAGGGGACTTCCAGCCGTGATTTTTTTGCTTTTTTTTGCTCAATATAACATTATAGTGTTCAAAGTGGCATAAATAATAAACCCTTTGTGCGCGCGTCCGACTTGCACTTAGCCGGTTTTTTCATAATGTTAACATGATACTGGACGGCATTACGGCGGTAAACATTCAAACACAATATTTGTAAACGTTCGGGGACGTAAGCGTATATATGACGTCACTCGAACGTTTATCTATCTACCTATTTTTATCTATACCATGATAACGCTATGACGATGTCATGGTAATGCTAGCTAGTAGGTAATGCTCGCGAATCCACCAGGAATATTTATTAGAATAAAATATATATTGCTAGCAACTCGCATAGCTATTCAATTTAATTTAGACAGCAGTACCTAGCTATATCATTATCATGCTCTTTTGGGAATGAACAGGGTCATAGCTAGAGTACTATTTTAGATAGGACAGTAGTAATTACAGGTAGTAGGCACTGCTGCACTTCAGATTTGCACTTTTTAGGGTACCGTTGTCCTGATTAGGAACCCCTATAGTTTCGCCATGTCCGTCTGTCTGTCCATCCCCAGTTTTGCTTGGTGACTGTTATCACTAGAGAGCTGTAATTTTGTGGAGATATGTTTATGAATCATGTTATAACTATTTTGATTTGATTAAGTAGAACAAAATTTTGAAAAACATATTTGAAGTGAAACTTCTTTAGCGGAGTTGTACACTTTTTTTGTATGGGTAAAAAATGTTAAGCTCGCGTCAGGTTAAACATGTGGGCTGATCGCATCATGACGCACAATAAAATTGGAAAGGTAGTTGACTCTCAATATATTGGACGAAACATAGTAATATTATTTTACCGTATTATAATAATAATGTCTCTATCTAGGACGTCTACGTGGCAGCTTTATTGCGAAGAAAATGCATTTTTTTACAATAGATGTCGCTAGGTGCGCTTAAATGTGATTTATTTACAGTAGATGTCGCTAAGTGCGCTTAAGCGTGATTCATGTAAGTTGATTTTTCTGAAAGATAAACTTTTTTAATGTAATATAAATTGTCATGTTTGTGTACGACAGCGCAATAAATAAATATTGTATTCTACCACATACATGATAGTACTTTTATACTACTAATTAAAGCAATTCGTGCAAAATTATTCCCTAACCATTCCAAAATATCAAAAATGCACTACGTTAATATTCAAGTTTTCACTTCTGCCGGCACTCCCGGAGTGCAACCCGTCGTTTGTTTTAGGGTAGCTCCCCTAGCCCTACATGTAACCTGGAGATGATTTTATTTTTTTCATCGTCTACCCCTACGCGTGGCGTATCGTTGAATAGTCCTTTAAAATTACTAAGGGGTTCCTAAGACTATTTTTCGATTTATGGATCCGTTTGCGAAATATTGTACTTTAAAGTGTTTTTTTTGTTTATCTATGGCGTCCTCAAAGAGCTAAAATCCCCTCTCTAAAAGTTACTCTATTGGCTTGAAAAATCTGAATAAATTCATGATAATAGTGCTTTTCACGAACTTTGAGGGAAAACCACAACGGTTAAAATAGATTTTATTAGTTTAAGAGTAATTGTCGCTCAACCTATGTATTAAAAAATTTCAGACCTAATAAAAATCCTTATAAGAAAACATTAAAAGTGACTCAGACGAAGTAATTGCTTAAAATATATACTCTTTCCAAATATATTGTGGTGACTACGAGCAACTACGGAACCCAACACTGCGCGTGGCACGACATGCACTTGGCCGGTTTTTTGATTTACTCTTTCGCAGCCTGCCGCCGATTTAAGGTAGGGCAAATTTAAAAAAAGTAGATTATGCTCCTCTCCCCTTAACTGCGGTCCCTAGGAATGAAGAAATAGCAAAAACCTAATAGTCATTATGGTTTGCTAGCGCATCTATGCGTTAATCTAACTAATAGAGTTAGTCTCTACAATCTGATTTGGAATTGTTATGGTGTTTTTCTTACATCTGCAAAAAGTAACACAAATATATTTCGTTTTGTTTGTATTTTTATAAATACCTAGTTTAGAGATTCATACCTTTGGCACACCTCCTGACCTGACGTCACTCACTTGGCACAACTCTATTACGTCACCATCCTGTAACAAAAGAAATTAAAATTCTGTTAAATTATCAATCCATAGGAATAATATTTTTTCATTCATTTTATACCATCATTATTTTTGGTCATCCATCTAATGATCGGCCTCCGTGTAAGTTTCCTACATAAATATTTTATTCTCTTATTCTAAGAAACTAATAAACTGTTGCATATTTACTCTGAAGGAAAGAATTCGCGTTATTCGCACAAAGATCAGGGATCTCTCTCTATATGTTAACTCAAGCTTTTGCCCGCAGTTTCATTTCTCATATTAAATTGAGGGTAACATAGTGCACTCGTTGGATCTTTTACTAAATAATTAAGTACTTCTGTGAAGTTTCTAATAAAAAAAGTTTATTAGTAGAAGAGAGCTCCTGAAGCATCTGACTAACCAATTTCCCACTAATCTAGATTTTTTTTAAATCTGTTAATAAAGACACCATCGTTCTGGCAGACATCGCGCGGTAGTGTCATCATTCTTAAATTTTTGAAAATGTAGTAAAACATCTTTTTTTAATTATATGATTTTCGTAATTTACATATGATTAAGTGCAAAAAAAATTATTTAATACCCAAATTTTTAAGGAACATTCCTTCCTGTGCAGGAGTTACAAAGGGAACAGCCTTAAAATTTGAGCCGCACAAGGCTCAAAGGGCAGGTTATAAATTACTATCCCAAAGACAACTTTGCTATCGTCTGGTATACCTGCAACTCTCAGAATAGGTTGGCAAATATTTTTACGCTAAATCATATAAAAAATACGACATATTAAAATGCCAGTAGCCTTGTGGCAGCAGGAAGAAATATTTTTTTAGTATTTTCAAAATTTCAAGGGATGATTTCGTAACCGCGAGATGCCTGCCAGAACGGTACTCTTTATTAACAGATAATAAAACATCATTTAAAATTTTCTAGATTTGTGGGAAACTATTTAGACAGATGGTTCAGTAACTCTTAGACTATATTATCATGTTTATACAATGGATTTGGGCTTCTAGTTTCTTTGAAACACAAATTATCGAAATAACGAAGACATAGGAGTATAGAATGAGGAGATTCTGGGGAGGAGAGCCCCACATAACCACCATGTGGTATGCAATTTAGTGCATTTCCCCAGCATATCAAAAAAAGGAGCATAGGAGAATGAGCAAAATTATATTTTATGTACGAAAATCATTTCTTTAGTGATAAAAATCAACGAGGAATCAGTCGAGAATGTTTGTATGGAAAAAATATTGCCCGCTTCCCCTCTTAACGTGCCTTCCGAAGCACGGAGAAGCTCGAGATTATAAGTTTTTGGTCACCTATCCAATGACCAACTACATAGATAAAGCCCTAACCTCTTTCTAGATACTTCAATTCATATTTTCTACGCAGAAGTGCATCCATTTTAAACGGGAAATAAATTTCCTCTGGAATATTGTAAAGGAAATAAGGTCGCCTGCAAAGTTATATAGGAGCGGGATGTATGTAATTGGCATTGAAAATGGATTGTCGCCTTTTCATAAATCTGTTGAGAAGACATGCGAATGAAAAGCTATTCGTATGGATATGTAGGTAAAGTTGTAGGCGTCATTTACATATTTTTGACTGGAAATTACAGCAAATAATAAATGGTAGGAGCGCTGCAATCTAGTCTCATTCAGTCGCTAATTAACTTTAAAACAATCAATTCAGTGCTTATTTTGTAAAAGTTTTGGTATCTTATCTTTTTTCGAGTAAATTCGTACGCAAATGACAGATGTTTTAAAATTGAATTGAACCAAGTTTTAGAGCCCTACCAGAATCAGCCATTTTGGAAATATCAATTGCTATCAGACGATTGTACAGTGCATGCGGAATATTTCGAACAAGCAGCGGCTGGACAAGTAGAAATCAGGGAGAATCTTGTCGTTGAACTCAATCAGGCTTTGGACCACAACTTGGTAACAGTAACTTGGTGAATTAAGTGCTTAAAGAAAACCAAGGTTTGCGCTTTCATGGCATACACGTCGCCATTCCTTCCCCTTCTCTCTTTTCAGGGCACTGGCGCTACAGAGCATCATCAACATCAACATGCTCGGCATGGAAGTTTGCTCAGACCTGAATCCAAAGGTACATCGAGACCGTGATCAAAACAGCTTCACGAAAACTGGAACACGTCGTTTTTTCACGCCCGATCAACTGTGCTTGTTGTACAAGACCATCATTGGCGATGTAAGTGCGGGCGCGCGTGGAATATTGCTCGCACCTCTGGGATGGCTTAACTAAGTACTTTACTATGCTTTGGATAGGTTACAGCGGCGCGCGATCCGCATCATTGACGATGAGGAAGTGACTAGAGGATCATTACTAGGTCAGTAAATCAACTCAATATCAACAGTATAATGATCTAATAAGCTTTTTAATTAATATACTTTTTATATCATCGAAATCGCTTCATTCGTTGCGATTTTATAACTATGTACATAATTTTATGGTATCTAATATTCACCGGTGGCCGCAACGTGTGACGTGACAGAGCTCGATCGTGGTTCATTCCGGTCGAACTTTAGTAGCGTCTCTACGCACGCTCGCGTCCGAGCGCTAGAGCTCTGTGATGTCACAGTCACCACGCGGCAAGCCGAAGATTCGATAAGTAATTTGGTCATAACTTCGTCAATATTTGTCGTAAAACAAAAATTTAACGACTGCACTTTATGGAATCCTTAGCTCTATAAATCTGCATTCTCAACTAAAATCGTTACGAATCCTCAATATGGTGTCATTAAGTACGATTTACAATGGTGAGTGTTCCGAGGAGTTATAACCTTCCACTTTCCTTCAGATGACCACGCACGCTGGCTTATGTTGTCAGCGACTTACTGTGGTCAAGTCACTATTCCAACGCGAACCAAGACATTTGGTGACTCATTTCTTTATTGCACTATCCACAAATGGAATGCTTTGCCTGCTCTTGTGTTCGCTTCCTTCTATAGCCCGGGATCCATTAAAAGAGGCGTGAAGAAGCAATGTGCAGTGCGGTAAGGGCTGGTTTGGCAGTAACACTGCTGTACCAGCTACTTTCGCGTCTGGACTCTACCGTTACTTTAACATTAGGTGTGGTGGAGTCATTTGTCGGAGTTATTGTTAAAAAAATTAAGATACATATATTTATAAATGTACCTACAGATATATACATTTCGATAATAATTTAAGATGGGAATCAAAAGGAAACCATAGATTGAGCCAACTGCTAGCTTTCTCTGATCAGTAGATAATTAATGTCGATAGGAATACTTAGTAAATGTTTTTACGAACTGGGTGTATTCGGAAGTAATTTCGGGCTTTGGATTAACAACCCATCACCTTTGTTTCAGAACAACAACTATGCAAATGTGATATCGTTGGCTTAGCTATGGCGTATTAGAGTAAGTAAATGTAAGTATGTTTATCTGTGTCACAGTGCAATGCATCCTCAATGCTCTATAGCACGCCTAAACATATTATGTATTACCCCTTCCCTCTATTATGTAACTAAAGAGATCGATCAATAATACAATTGTATACAAACTATCTGAAACATAAAAGCTTTGAAGTTGTATAGTGGTTATATAACGAATGGCCTAGTTCTGAATCGGGTGCAGACCAGTGCTTTATACAAGTTGTATCATGTTGCACCTGTCAGTGGCATTTGCTGTAGAAAGTAAAGTATACGACGGGCGATAGATGTCAATAACAGGATTGCTATTGCAATAAAAGTTAGACAGTTTCTGTGCCATGATGGGTCTGGGTTACCCAAAAAAGAATAAAATAAATTATATAAGAATTTGATATCTTATCCAATTTTTGAAATTTAAGAGGTCCTGGGCTGGTGAGGAGGGGGTCAGGGTCACCTAAAAATCGAAAATAAATCTAAAATTTTCAATTTCTTTTTGTTACATGTTAAGATATCATAAACTAGCAACCCCAGATACGCACGACAGTAGCTAAAACAGGGTTTTTACAACTAGCAACTATTATTTTAAAAAATGCAAATAATAGGAGTTGATAGATAAGAAAATACACAATTTTGTCTCTTTATAGTGAAAATGAGAAGAGGTCCAATTGAATAGTCCAGTTACGAGGATAAAGCTGGGGATAATTAGATCGCTGTCAGTTGCAATACACATGAGTGAATGGAATTGGAATGAGACGAGACAAAACATTATGGAATGGTCAGTTTCTGGTTCTGTAGGTACAGATTGTCTTCGTTGAGATGGATTATTTCAAAAAAAAAATTTTAAAACCTAGGATGACCACAGTGGCTGAGTGGTTTGTATGCCGGGTTTCATGGTATCGCCCACTCGAGAGGTCCCGGGTTCGAATCCCGGTAGGGGCAGATGTTTGTGTGAAGAATACGAGCATTTGTATGTACTCCAGTCATAGATGTTTAATATGTATTTTTATATAAAGATACTTATGTATGTACAGTAAATGTATTCTATCCAATACCCTAGCATCGCATAACAGAAGCCTTATAGTGCTTACTTTGGGGCTAGGCTAATTGGTGTGAGTGTTGGAAATATTTATTTATTTATCGCTATTGACATTTAAACTATTTGACGAGCATCTTTGTCGGTGGGTAAGGAAGATTAATATAAGAGCAAATTCCAAAGAAGGAGATATTAAAGAGCAAGCATCCTGCTATATGTGTATGTATGGTGAAACTACACTTATGTTAGTGATACACACGGTTCACGCTTAAATAGTGCCAAAACTCCTTGTTTCAATCAGTGATCATCGTCAGCCTATTAATCTCCCCACTCTGCTGGGGCATAGGCTTTCTCTATGGATGGAATAGGGAGATTAGGCTGTGACCCACCACGTGAGCTCAGTGCGGATTGGTGGCTGCTAACGACTGCAGACACAGCCGGGAATAACGGCATGACGCGCCTTTCGAAGCATGGCGGAGCTCGAGATAGTAAGTTTTTGGACACCAATCTAATGACCGACCACTGCGAGAGTTACTTAACTATAACGATCGCAACCATTTGCGC